ACTCGGACTTAGCCTTTAGTAAAATAGACCACATATAAAGGGTAAAGGTCCTCGGTGGTCAAAAAGAGAACATCGATGTTTCTTTTTTTCACAAAAAAACAATGATTTGTAAACATTTTCCTCAAATTAGTTATTTGCATCGGTTAGAATATTCATCATCAACAATAATCTTTGTCCGAATGTTTTTGTTAGTGATAAAGTATTTCCGATTAATTAATTTTTGCAAGCGATAGAAGTGAATGTTTTTAGAGAAATATTTCAAATTAGTGATTTGTGACATATGCGCATATAAAAATTAAAGGTTTTCATCAAATTGGTGATTTTTCACTGAGGGTTTTTCCTTTCATCACTCTCTCTCTCTCTCCAAAATATCTTCTGTTTTTTCTCTCTCTTACTAAAGGGTTTATGTCTGACCAAAAAAAAAAAAAACTAAAGGGTTTATGTATCGCTGCCACCAATCCGTGGCTGTGCGTGTGGGTGACAAAAAGCCACTAGCAACAGTCGGTGGTGGCTCCAACTCATTGATAGGGTCTCGCTCGGTTCATTTTGGACAACTTTTACGGACAAGCCTAGCCCATTCAACATCAAAGATAAAAAAAAAAAAAAGGAACTAAAGAAATTCCACCTCCGCAGCACTAGGGATGCTAAAGATGAGAAATAAAAAATAATAAAATGTTAACAAAATTCGGGAGCCATCAAGAGCTTGGAAACTCGAATTAGCCTGACTGAATCGACCCCCGCATTTCTCTAGCACGAGTTAAATGGAGTAGGTTTTTAGGGCGTATTTTTCTAATTTTGTTTTCAGGCTTGTTCAGGCTACTTGCCTAGTGAATGCAATGAAATGTAAAGGAAACACAAATATACACAGATGAACATGGAGGCCAATGAGAATCGATGAAAGCATGGCAAGACATATATTCCAGATTAAGCAACTGCATTCATTCCATTAATATGACTTTGCAAAGGTTATATGTAAAAAATAATGTTTATTCATCTTATATCATGCTATAAACTTCCATTAGAAAAAAGAATTTGACAGGCTATGAAATCACTACAGAGCAAATTTCCGCGTAGGACCAATCTAATGTTCCTTGGTCCGGAAACTGCCATCTGGCATTTGGAAAACATCCCCCCCCCCGCTTAAATCAGTAATCGAGGGAACAAATGAGAAAAAAAGATTAGGAATAATATAATGAGAGACGTCGTTTGGAAGCTCATCTGATGCATGACACCAACACTTACACGTGTCTCATCTGCTGTCTCGTGGTGAGAAGCTTGATCATGTTGGGATGAGAGAGAGTGAGTTGAGAGAAGAGGCTGATCAAATCTAAACATATAATTACAAAAACAAAGGAAGCTGAGAGAGGAGAGGATGGGTCGACAGTGAGTTAACATATAGATACGCGGGAGTTACAGGTTCTTCACATTAGAAAGTCGTTGACATCAACCCCTATCTTTAAGATGATTAAATATGATTCATCAAATGGTATTTACCAACAAAAAAAATTAGATATGGATTTACAAAAAAAAATGGAAGGAAAAAGAACTTCCATCATATATCTCTATCCATCAACTCAAGTCACTATTAATGGACGAATTACTAAATTACGAAAATCCAATTATATATGCTAAGTTAATTTGTGGTATTTTGAATGAAATTCCTCAAATGACGGAAGCATTTTGGTAAGATGGTTAACGTTACCAGATAAAGTGACCCCAGACTTTAAAAAATTCCGATCCGTTTTTCATATCCGTGTAGGGACAAGGGTCCAACTGTCCTTGCACTGACCAACTTTCGGAGTATTGGCCAAAGTGCTTTATGAGAAAAAGAAAGAGTTAGTCTAGCGTTTTGTCGGGGGTAAAGATGCAGAATCTCATCCAAGATTACATCGAGTTGGAAAGTGAAATTTGACTGGGCCGACTCTCTTTTCCATCATCCTCATATTGCTTTTGAATTTAAGAAACATATAAATTTAGTCAAGGTCTTGCCACTTACTTTTTATAATGGACATCCCTGTCATAAAGGTAAAGCATTTCCCAGCTTTTATGGTAGGCAGCCACCACGACTTGGGAGAAATCCGAGTCAAGCTATGATGGACATCCCTATCCAAAAAGCAAAGCATTTCACGGCTTTTGTCGCAAAGTTAATCAAAATGATTTGCTCAAATTATACATGAGTCCCTACACGATGAAGCAGGCAATTAAACATTCAAAACGCCTAATAAACCTTCAATCCCATGTCAGTTGAATACACAAAAGTTTCCGATTCTATACCCTCAAAATACCTCGAATGAAATTGGAGCATATATAATAAAAATGAATCATATAATTGGACCAATAGTTGGTACTGTATACTACTATTATTAATCTTTGGAAAATTTGTTAACCAACTGATAATAATACATATATATTAATTTTTTTTATCTTTTAAGAAGTTGATAGCTCACCACTTGTTTTATTTGACGGTCTAAATTAATTCTTCTTTTTTTCCTTTTTCGCCATTTCTTATCTTCCCTTTGTTTGTTTATTCTCTTTCCACTTTTGCCTCCGTCCCTCTCTCTCCTTGGATCTCGAACAAATTGCACAATATTGATCCACATCACACTTAACTCTCTCTCTCTCTCTCTCTCTCTCTCGCTCTCGCTCTCTCTCTTCTCGGTTTGAGCCACCATTGCTAGTGGCCTCCTTTGCTGTTGTCGCCCTACCATGGCTGCAAACTCCATCTGAACCCCGCGACTTGTGGGGTGAGGCCTCAACCATAGATGTAACATTACTGGCCTAGGGCGACCTTGAATTTGTGGTTACCCGAGGCCGAGGCCGCCACTTTTGCAAGCGGTTGCGTCCTCTATAGTCGTTACCATCTTTGCGGAGCTCATTTTTGCTGATGTCAAAAAGTGGGAGAAGTGCTATAACAAGTTTTATCATACTCAAGCTATTTGATTAAACAGGGGAATGAGAATGTGAATATTACTCTATCATACACAGAATATTATTTTGACATTATTACACAAATTTTATTAGAATTATATTGATAGTTTTGTTATCATAAAAAAGGGGGAGATTGTTGAGAAAAATCCCTAATTAGTTTTGAAGTATGACAAAACAATCCCGTCTGACCAAATTATGCTTAAGATGTTTGATGCAGATCTACATTAAGTCATCAGACTTAATAAATGGAACTACTTAGTCATCAGACTCAAATACTGTATCATAAGACTTAGTCGTTGAAAGGACTTTGTCATCAGATGCAGATATTGAGTCATCAGATGCAGAATTTCTCGTCAGATTCAACAAGCGTTATTTTTTGCAGGTTTATGAAGGACGATCAAAATAATATCATAAGATATTATATTTTGGTAATCACAAGATTATTCCTTAATACGAAGAACTACACTTTTGGAAACCAAGATTTGATTGTATGGGCGATCGAATCAACTTGGAGATAATAATTCTTTCTAACAGCTATGTATCTTCTTTTGGGAAGTTTCTCCAACGGATTAATTTGGAGATAAATCCTCTGAAGACTGTCCAACGGGTAGATTGGAAGTGGAGGAGTATAAAAGGAGTGCATACGTCGTACAAAGAGAGAATCAGAATCGAGAATTCCAGAGTCTGAATAGAGCTTCGATTTTACACACACTCGTGATTACTGTTTTTCACGCTGTGATTTTTTAGAGAAAAATTACTTGAGTGTAGAGTGTATGTGATAGTGTGATCTATCATATGAAGAAACACTACTCTTGTAATCTCTTGGTGATTCATAGTGAAACACAGCCAATAGGCTGCCAGCGTGGAGAGTGGACGCAGGCTTGATAAAGCCGAATCACTATAAAGATCAGTGTGCAGTATTCTCTATCTCTAAACTCTCTTTAATTATTCTTATTATCATACAGCACATATATCTTCATCAGAATATCATCGCGGTCATCAGTCGTAAAAATCGTAGTCATCAGACGCAAGCATCTGACGACAATTTATCATCAGACGCATCCATCTGACGAAAAATTTTATCAGACATAAACATCTGATATAGCGAGTATAAGTTGTTAATCTTGACTATATTCATTCCGCAATTTTATTTTATTAAATTTGATACAATCACCTATTCACCCCCCTCTAGGTGATAGCACTAGCCCTAACACCTTGGAAAGTTTCTGGGTCATGACTAGCTTTAATGACCGCGTGGGATAAGATGTGTCGCATCTTTGACTTGAAGATGTCCCCAGCAGAAAATTAAGGGTCCTCCATCTGTACTGAACATGTGCGTGGGGACTTGGGTGGTGTCGATGTCGGAGCGAAGTGGAAGCTCAAGTGGAAGTTGTTTAAATCTGCCTTAAACAACCCAAATCGGTCTGCTTATGTTGTGGATTTTTATAATACTAACAAGATTATCCGTGCATCATAACAGTTTAAGACTACGTTTTTTATATTATTCTAAATTATTGATAGTTAATCAATTTTGCATTCATTGATACTTCAAGTTAATTAAATATAAGATATATTGAACGTTGATCAGTATTGTTTTGATCACATTATCAAATTGAACGAAGTTGTCTTATTTTTTCTTCAATGAGTCCAAACAAATACGAATTTGTGTAATATTTCTTGGCAAAACAACATTTATACTAAAAATTAATAACATCAAGTTTTTGTTATTTATCTCTCTTTTTTAGAAACGATACTTGGGGAATGCATATTTACTTTATAACTTTGGTGAAATCACTAGTGACTTTTTTTTTGTCGATCTGCTTATAATCATTTTTTTAATCAATTTACAACGTTCATCTTATAATTTTCATCTCTCTTTTGGAGAAGTTCTGGGTCAAGTCAACGGCAAGAATCACGTGTTCTGAAGAATTGGTCCGAGTAGACTTTGAGTTTGCCCATGGTTGTTTCGTGGAGTTGGCCCAACCGTAATAATCACTCAAAAGGGAAAGACTCCGCATGTATAAATGGAGTAGATGACCCCCGTAAGTTTGCACAGGGGGAAGCAGAAGAAACAGATAACCCACAAAACAGCATTATAGATAAACATGAAGTGTCTTTTATCGTGTATGTGGACTTGGGTGTTTTTGGTATTGATGGGAAGTGGAAGAAGCATGGGGTGCTTGGAAGAAGAGAGGAAAGCACTGCTCATGATTAAGGCCGCCTTCAACCACCCGAATGGGTCTTCTCTTCCATCGTGGCAAGATGGCAACGGTGACTGTTGCAGCTGGAAAAGGGTAAAGTGCGATAACACCACTTTGCGGGTGACTCGACTATATTTGGGCGCAACACGCGGGTGGGGATCTGACGATCGCTACTGGGAATTGCCTTGGGTTATGGACGCGTCTTTATTCCTTCCTCTGGAGGAACTTCAAGTGTTGGATTTAAGTTTGAATTCTCTCTCAGGTGAATATCTCTCTCTCTCTCAGCTATTTGTTCCTTTTGTCTTTTTTCAATTATGTCTCTATGTAATCGTATACTTACCGTTTCTGAATAATGTAAAAATGTCATACATGGGTGCTCCAAACAACAAAGTGGATTAAGTGAATTAATGACAAACACATGATTGCACAAATGATGCAATTCTTAAAGTAGTAGATTGCACATGTCATAAAATAATTAGGAGACTCATCTCCACAATCAGGATAGGTAGGAAGAGCTAAAATAGAATCAGCTCAGTAGGCAATGATTTACCAAATGCCAACTTTTCTGCCATCATAAAGAGTCTAACTTGTCTGCATTTTGCACCCCAACAAAGTTGACTTGAAGGGCACTTGTTTTGAAGTGGACTAAAATCTGCTTAATACTTTTATTTGTGACTTTCTCTCAAGATTCAAATAAGAACAAAGAAAATCAAGTTCCATCAGATTATGAAAGAACTATATATAATTCTACGTATTAATATTTACATGTTTGGAAATTTTTTGAGCGTTTCATGGTAATTAAAAATCAAATTATGAGAGCGATAAGGTTTGCAAAAAATTAAAATTAAAAAATCGCGAAAAGTAGATTTATGGAGGGGATTAATTTGGAGGGAAAGAAAGGATCTTAAAGGTAGCGTAGTGTTTGGATAGAGGGAAAGAAAGGGACAGGAAAAGAAAGAGTAGAAGATATTAGGAGGAATTATGTATAGTCATGTGTCTTTTAAATCCCTCATATAAAGGGATTTGGAGGGACTAAGGGGGACCAATACTTTTATCAAGCATCATCGTTCTTTCCCACATATACCTTCGATGCATTTCAAATTGTAAATACATATAAATTATATATACATAAAAGTACAATAAAGTGATAATGCATCATTTCTTTTCTTTTCTCTCCAGATCATTCCTTTCTCTAGTATCCAAACAATATAATGAGGGTAGATTTTCTCAGCTCTACTAGTGTTAGCTAACTACATATGATCAACATTGTTAAGAGTATAAGTTACTTGTTTATTAAATTGGTTTACAAATTCATGTGACAGAGACCTTTTTCATGCTTGAATACGTCAAACCAGCTAGTTTCTGCTTATAAACCAATTCTTCTCATCATGAGCATATAATTATTATCGATAAATTTAAGGTAGTTGGACATATGATATCTATAGAGAATTAATTAACCATCGGATATGCATGAGTCTTTTCTTAACCAGATTTAAACGGAACGCTACACCTGAGGAAATTGAAGAGCCTAGATCTATCTTTCAATTGTCTACAACGAGTTCCCTCGTTGTACAAGCAACAGTTAGTGGAGGCCCAAAATTTATCTTCCAATCAGCTTGAAGGTACATGTAAAATAGATGACCATGCCTTGATATATAAAGTTCGATTTTGAGAACCTTTTGTCAGTTACAGGTGTTAATCTTGAGGCACTGGAGCTTTCTGCTAACAATTTGGTGAATGATTCCCTTGCGGACATTGCGAGGATAACATCTCTTAAGGCCTTACACCTTAGTAGTTGTCGACTGAATGCTTCGAAGCTACTGGAAGGTACTTCTCTAAAAATGCTTTCATTTATCACCTTCTTAAGAGAAAATAAGATAAGGTTGTCTTGAACATAGAACGCATGATTACATTATATTTGAAGTATTCTGGATCTTATTTTGGCCGCACATTTTGTTCAAATAACTTAGCGCCAACGACTTGCGTCTAAGTAAATGATATCATATAGTTGTTTGCCTTATGCTTGAAGTGGGAAGGATTTAGTTAAATGTCTATGGAAGGCATAAATAAACTCATGTCATGCTCAATGTCTTTATTGTGGGATCATGATGTCGGTGATCCTAAAAAATTTGGTCACTTTCAATTTAATCCCAAATCTTTAAATATTGAAGTTTAGGCTCCATGCTTTTACTTTTGTGAAACTTTTTTACTGGCCAATCTGAAGAATAGTGCGATAACATAACAGATGCAAGGAGTAATTGCTTAGAAGATAAAAATAGTCAAAATAACAATATACCAGAGGGGTTCAAATGTTGTGCAGGAATCATAATAAAATTAAATGCAAAAGTTAATCGGGAATCAAAATCCAAAAATTCCTTACAGTTTACATATTAAACCACAATGGTGGTCAAACTTTAGGGATTGCAAGTGTTAATAAATTCAACTAGGCCATGAAAATTATATAAGAAACTTAAAATTCGTATCGGTAAACTAAGATGCATAAAATCAATCAAAGAAAGCATTTCTTATAATGGATAAATTAATTAATTTGAAAAATGGTTTTTCCATTAAGATAAACAATGTATAGAATAGAATAAATAATTATAATATTCAAAACTCATTCGGCCTTAAAAAAACCTCGGCTTCTTTGCACCAATGTCCATTGCTGCCTCTGCCCACCGCGGCGCTCATGCCCATCATCACACCACAAAGCTCGGTCGCCATTACTACCGCCAGAAGACCCTGCATGACCTTTGGCGTGAACTACGACGACCTAAGATCTAAAGTGTGTCCTCAATTTGAGGCCGTGATGCTCAGAACTAAGGCCTGGAGGGTGGAATGGACAAGCAGTGAGGTGGCAGTGACGGACAGCAAACCGGACAATAATGTGGATGGTGGTGGAGGGCGGCGAGTTGCGGTGGTGAGTTGCGGGTCCAAATGATGTTTGGGGGGCCTCCACTGCTGACTTGGTAGGCATGTCAGCCAAAAGATCACAATGATCTCGCGCTGCACTAAATGGAGGATCCCATTGCATTGTTTTTGAAAAGTACATAATTAAACTGGAAAAAAAAATTCAGAAACTATAACGAAAATGGAGCAAAGGTTTAGAGGTTACCCATGCAATTAACCCACAAATTTTAGGAATAATATCAACTTTAGAGTTCATTTCCGATCCAATTCAAAATTTGTCAAACTCCGGAAGTAATTAATTTAATGTGAAGAATAGTGGAGATGAAGCATCGTGGTGATGCAACTCCACTCTAAAGCTCCATCTTACCAATTTTTCTGTTTGTATTTTTGGATATTAGATTGCACGCTCTTTCTATCCTCCATTCTCGACACAAACCATGACCTTCAGTGTTTTAATCATACAAAGTACAATTTAGTGACGATACTCACAGTTGCAGTGCCCCCTTCAACAGGCTTGTGCGGATTGAGAAACCTTGAAGAGTTGGATATCGGTACTAATGGATTTTGGGGTTCTCTTCCTTCATGCTTCAGCAATATGACCTCACTCCGTGTGCTTGATGTTCAAAATAACAATTTTAGCGGGGCCATTCCTTCATCTCTCCTCTATAATCTCAAGTCACTTGAATATATTGCGTTATCTAGAAATGCATTTGAAGGATCACTTTCACTTGCTTCCCTGGAAAATAATCATAACCTTAAGGAATTCCGCCTCATGAAGAACCGTAATAGTAGTTTGGTAGTAAATACAGAAGAGCCCACTTGGTTTCCTTCATTTCAACTTAAGGCGTTTAGTTTATCACACTGTGTGCTCAACAAAGACGCAAGTGGCGTAATTCCCAGCTTTCTGAAAGAACAGTATAACTTGAGCGTTGTTCAACTCAGCCACAATGGAATGACAGGAAATTTCCCAAGTTGGCTATTGGACAACAATGTAAATCTAGAACAGTTCACACTCAGAGGCAACAATTTGTCAGGTTCATTTTATCTGCCTTCCAATTTGAATCTTGTCAGCTTACGGATTTTCGATGTGTCTGCTAATTTTATGGAAGGAGAGCTTCCATCTCATATTGGATCTATCCTCCCGAAAATGAACTATTTGAATCTGTCAAGCAACAATTTGAAAGGTGGAATCCCTTCCTCAATGGGCAATATGCACCGGTTGTCCATATTGGACTTGTCGAATAATGGCTTCACGGGAGAAATACCAGAGACTTTGGCTAAAAATTGTTCGCAACTTATGGTATTAAAACTGTCAAACAACAATTTGACAGGCCAAATGCTACCGAGGTATTCTAACTTGATAGGCTTGCAATTTTTGTATCTGGACAGCAATCATTTTACAGGGGACATATCGCCTGGTATATTAAATATCTCCTTCTTGCAAGTTTTAGATGTAAGTAATAATTCCCTATCTGGAACACTTCCCAATTGGATTGGAGATATTCAACACTTGGGAGCGCTTATACTGTCAAGTAATTTATTGGGAGGTCCTTTACCGTTGAGCTTATGCAACTTACAGTATCTCGATCTTTTAGACCTTTCAAGTAACAACCTTAGGCCGAATATACCCCCTTCTTTCAATGTTACAATTATGAGGTTCTTGCATTTAGCAAATGACACACTTGCTGGGCCTTTTCCTGAGTTTCTTTCAGGAGCTTCATCGATTGTCACGTTGGATCTAAGAGATAATGTATTGTCAGGTGAGGTCCCCAGCTGGATCGGTTCACTTCGGAACTTGAAGTTTCTTCTACTACGAGGAAACAATTTTGAAGGTTCAATCCCTCCGGATCTATGTCTGTTGAAAAATATGAGCATATTGGATCTTTCCAATAACAATCTTTCTGGAACAATTCCTTCTTGTTTGAAAGATTTGACATTTGGAAACGCTGGGGTATCTACGGAGGCATTTGCTACCTCGGTCTCTCCTATACATTACGATGGCGTACACTATATTGGCAGATTCGGTTTTGATTATTCGTATAGTGACATATCTGATTATACGGGGAGATTCGAAGAAGTACACTTCATGACAAAGAGTAGGTTGGAATCTTATAAGGGCAACATTCTAAAATTCAAGTCAGGAATGGATCTCTCACGGAACAATTTGACAGGCTTTATTCCTCCAAAGGTTGGCTACTTAAGTGAACTTCGGGCATTGAACTTGTCACACAATCATTTGAAGGGAACGCTCCCAGAAACATTTTCCAATTTAAAGAACGTAGAGAGTTTGGACCTGTCCTACAACAACTTAACCGGTCCCATCCCTCCACAACTAATAGAGCTTTACAGGCTGTCAAATTTTTTTGTGGCTCACAACAACTTGTCAGGCAGGATACCAGACCCAAAAAATCAATTTGGAACTTTTGGTGAAGCAAGTTATGAAGGTAACCCTCTTCTTTGCGGAACACCATTAACAAACTGTGATGACTCAAATCACGAACAGGGGACATCGCCATCTTTAAATCATACCAGGGAGGATGACTCTTGGAGAGAAGCCTTCTTGTGGAGTTTTGTAGGATCATATGCCGTGGCATTCCTTGGGGTGGTTCTTTTTCTCTACCTAAACTCGTACTATCAGTGCATGCTGTTCAAGCTTGTTCGTAAGCTTATCCCATCGTTTCCCCGGTAGAGATTGTTCTTTTAAGCATTTTGTGATGGAAAAATAGATGAAACAGTGGAGAACCTTTATGTAATAGGTTGTGAGCATTTGAGTATCTATTATGCATTTTGAACACTCGACTCCTAGAGCGTTTGTATTGTATTTCTTGTCCTGCTAATTTGAATATTAGGAGAATTGATTTGGGTGTCAATTGAGAGAGGATAGTTTACTTCACAACCAAAATGAATCCAAAATGTTACCCAAGCTGTGAAATATCTTATGGTTGCAACCAGCAACATCGAACCAACTGGGTTTTAGTGTATCAAGACAAGATCCTTCTAACATAAAGGATTGGGCGCGGGGAATTGCTCCTATTTGACGACAAAGGCATGCATTGTAGGACCACTGTTATGCAGCTTGGGCCCACCTTTATGGTCACTGCTTGATGAAGATTTATAGCAAGAGAACGAAGCTTATCCAATACTTAATGCAAAATTACCTGGAAAATAAGTTCGACTCTACTGGCAGAAATTTAAGAGCGACTGTCTTCTACATATGTATCAAGATCAATGATTGTGCCAGCATTTCTTTTCCCATCACCTTGGTGTCGTGTTCAAACTAAACCAACATAGAATATTAGTCAAGGGTCAACCTAGTCACACCTTTTATCCAAAAGAAATACGGGTCAAGCTAAAATAATAGCCATCTTAAAAAAACAGAGAACATAATGCTGAGCTACATATATAACGGGTACTGAATCAGGCAATGACGCAATGCAACAGTTCAACAGAAAAAAACATGAAGTGTCCTTTGCTAGTGCTGTGCATGTGGAGTTCAGTGGTGTTGAGATTGGTTATTGCAAAATAAGGTGGATCTCGTTAAAACTCACTGGCAACAACTTGCCGGGTGTTTTTTGTGACATTCCGAATTTCGGCCCATTTTTGGGATTTATAAAACGTGTAATTCGTCAGTGTGCTTATAGTAAAATCTCGCCCGGGAACTGATTACTCTCGGTTATTGTTTTTAAAATTGAGATTTCGCTAGAATTACACTCGATCGAATTTGGCCGTTATTTAGAGCCCAAACTTTGGTGTCGAATTTCTCGGAGTTTCGGGACGAATTTAATTGGACGGTGTCGATATTATTGTGGCCAGCGTCGATATTGCCCGGAATTATCGAAAAGTGAAATTTGGACCGGGTGCGGATTTTGACTAGTATACCTCCCTCTAGATTTATTGTATTTAGTGTCTTTTTAGCCTTTTCTTTAATTGAAAATTTGGAATTTTCGTGAACCTAGAATCTTGGCTTGCTCACCAAGATCTAATGAGGGCCCTAGGATGAGTCAAAAGGTGTTTGACTCTCTCTCTCTCTTCTTATTCCCGGAGCTCTCTCTCTCTCCCTCCTTGGAATCGGCCGAAGCTCCAAGCACCATCACCTCCATCTTGCTTCTCCGGTTCAGACGCCACCAGACTCGCCGCCTGAATCGCCGTCCAGCCACCCGTCCGGCCGCCAGAGTGTGCACTGTTCACAAAAAACTGAACTAGCCCAGAAACCAACTGGAAAACACCCATTTTCCCCTCTTTCTCTCTCTCTAGGCCTCACTCCGGGTACCCCGACCACCACCATCTTGTGTTCGTTCCAACCATCCCAGCCTGGTCGGCGGAAAGTCGCCGGAGATTCCCGTCCAGCCCTGTTCACCGCCGGAGCTCAGTTTGCCTGTTCACCGGTTTTCTTGCTTAAACCCTTGGTAAGTGACTTCCTAATCCTTGGTTAGGCTAGTGGGTTACTAATGGCATGTCTAGGGATGGGTTAGGGGCTGTGGATAGTTGGTTTAGTGGTTGTATAAGCTTGATTTGCTTAATGGTGCAAGTTTAATGATTCTCGGATTTCTGGTTGTTACTGTACCTCTGCGCTTTGTTATTTTTTGGTGATCATTGTGAGCCGAATCTGAGGAAGTGTTCTTCATGGAATTTGTTTCCAACATCTTGAGGAATAACATACTTTAAATTCAGAATTTTTGGAAGTTGTTTGTGGTCGTTCGGAGGTCGGCTTTCGGACCGTCTCAGGGCTGCCGGAGTTACTGTTCACCCGACCTTCTTGTTTTTCCGAATTTTTATAAAATTTTCTAGACCTTATTTCAACAAACTTCCTTCACGAAAATTGTTAAAAACACTTGTGTCTATGACGTATAAAAATTTCAGAGCTTTCCAAAGTGATTTGGATACTGAATGAGTTGTATTTTGATGGTCTGAGGGGCTGTCCGAGCGAACCGGAGTCTGTCCGGATTTGAGTGTCAAAAAGAGGTGTTTACAGTTGGAACTGGGTTTCGAGTTATTCACGGAAAATGTTTATCAAGATTTTTTATGCAACATATCCAAATTTCATAATTTTTGGAGTTTATTTACTATTTATTTCAAATGGATTTCTGTCACTGCACAACTGCCCAGTTTGGACCCGATTTCGTATATTCTCGATTTTTCTCTCTCTCGAGAATTATTCGGTGTTATCGTGGTGTTTGTGGATGAATTTGATGTTTGAATGTGGCTGATTGAATGTTGAGTTTGTGGGTTGGTGTGGCGTGTCGTGAATTGAATTGAGTTGTGAATGTGGATAGTTTGGTGCAATTGGCGTGAAATTGATTGAATTGAATGGCGTGTGTATGCCTATCGATTATAAGCCTGGATTGATAAGAGGGCTATGGACTTGGGACGTGTTGACGGCGGTTCGTGTGAAGGTATGAATGGCCAGTGTGCCAAATGGATGCGGGCTTGAGACGTGTTGACGGTGGCCCGTTAAAGGTGTGTTGGACCGGGACGTGTTTACGTCGGTCATTAGAATTGAGCCCGGATTGATCGGAGGGCTACGGACTTGAGACGTGTTGACGGTGGTCCGTGAAAGGAAAATTTGGCTTGGGACGTGTTGACGGCGGCCATTGGAATTGATTGAATTGTGTGGCTTGTGTGCTTGTGAGAACGGACTTGAGACGTGTTGACGGTGGTCCGTGAAAGGAAAGTCAGACCTGAGGCGTGTTTACGCGGGTCGTGAGAAAGTGCGAGATGTCCAGTGAGGGACAGAGCCCGAATTGATCGGAGGGCTGAGCCTGAGGTGCATTGGCACGGGCTGTGAGAATGGACCTGAGGCGCAGTGGCGCGGGTCGTGAGATGGTTGGTTGGGCACGTGTGCGAAATGTGATTGGTTGGATTGGCTGAAAGTACGTGTGGATATTTGATTGGATTGATTGATGGTACGTGTGGATATTTGATTGGATTGATTGATGGTACGTGTGGATGTTTGGTTGGATTGGTTCGGTGCGAGTGTGGATGGCGTTCGAATGATTGTGTTATATTATCGGAATATTATTTCATTATCATGATTTGACTAATGTGCAGTGGGGGCATGTGATTGGATGGCGAGGTAAGTCCATTGATGTGAATTATATATATGTTATCGCTTAGATTGCATGTTGAGACTTGTCTGGGTACGCATAGGCCTAGGTGGGGTTTAGGGTGTTGCTTATTGAGACTCGTTCTCACGGTTATTATATAACCACTTTCAGATCCGCGACCGTGATCGATTCGGAGATGCCGCCAGAGTACCACAGGGATTGAAGGATAGATCAAATTACCCTGTCTTTTGAGTACCTTTTCGTAAAGGAGATAAGCTTATCAACCACCGCCCCCTTTTGAAAATTGTGGTTTGAAATTGGTAGCCTGGGTTATTGTTTTGTAATAGTGACTGCTTTATGATGTTATGCAATTATTGTTTCGTGCTATCCTTTTGTCATCATGTTAGTTGTCTGGGTTGTTTTATTTCGCTTCCGCTTGCGTAGTTCGTTTGGGTCGGCGACGCATCCTGGGACATCGCGTTCAATACGACCGTTGAAGGGGTGTCGCGAGCCCGTTGGGGTTTGGGGCGTGACATCTCGGTTGATTTGGTATCAGAGCAAGGTCAGCTTGATCCAAGATGGTCGAAGCCTGGAGTGATAAGGAGCGATGACTTTGGGGTAGACAGTTATGGAGACTTGTGTGCCATGCGTACCCCAGACTGTTTGATTGTGATTGCTGAGTGATTTTATGCAATATTATGTGAGGTGCAGGTGCGTCAGGACTTGAGGTAAGTGCACGAACTTTGTTGGTTGTGATTAGGTGTTGTTTGTGATTGGCTGCTTGCTTAGTGAATTATTGTTGTGATTCACTACCTAGGTCTTTAGACCGGTATAGTTGGCGTAGGTCTTTAATTCCCGAGATGAATTATAGCAGGTAAATGAGTGGTGTGAACTCTGTGAGTATGAGTAGCCGAGGTCGAGGTCGAGGTCATGTAGGTCTGCAAGCTGGAGTTGCAGAGGATCCCAGTGTGGATGGAATTCTGAGGGCACGTGAGGAAGTTGGAATTTTAATGGGAATGATGGGAATCAAGGTCAATGGCAAGTTAATGCAGTCAGACAGATGCAATAACTGGTTGAGCAAATTTTGAAATTAAAACCTCCGAAGTTTGATGGGAAAAGTGACCCCGAGGCTACATCACTTTGGATATAAGAGTTGGAAAAAGATTTTGATGTATTGGGGTGCTTTGGTCGAGGCTTTCAATGGGAAGTATTTTTCGGAGAGTGCGCGAGAACAGAAAAAGACAGAGTTTCTTCGGCTTCGCTAAAATCGGATGTCAGTAGATCCGTACGAAGTCAAGTTTGTAAGGTTGTCTAAGTACGCACCAAGGATGGTCAAGGACCATGTGGATAGGACAAGGAGGTTCCGGGATGGATTGAAACCGGAACTCCGCAGTCAGTTAGTACTTTTGAGTCTTAAGGGATTACAATGAGCTGTATGAGAGGGCTTGATGGTTGAAATGGATATGAGTGAAAGGAGCTGCCGCTTCTGGATCGCGGTACGCGCCGGCTAGGGATAATAGGAACTTTGGAAAGAGGCCTATGGCAGAGAATAGGAGACTTGTCCCTCCAGTAAGTAAGAACTTCAGAAAGCCGAACCACTGCTCCAACTCTGCATGTCGGTCTTGTGGAAGGAGGCATGGGAATG